TGGATTCTGTTTGTTAGTATTTGTTGAGGATCTTCACATCTGTGTTCATTAGGAATGTTGATCTGTTTTCTTTTTTTGTTGCATCTTTTTTCAGTTTTGGTATAAGGTTAATGTTGGCCTTGTAGAAACAGTTTGGAAATATTCCCTCCTCTTCAATTTTTGGGAAGAGTTCAAGAAGACTTGGTATTCTTCTTTTAAGGTTTTGGTAGAATTTGGCAGTGAAACCATCTGGTTTTAGAGTTTTCTTTGTTGTGAGACTTTTTATTACTGCTTCAGTCTCATTACTAGTTTTTGGATTGTTTAGGTTTTCTAGTTCTTCACAATTCAACCTTGGTAGGTTGTCTAGTTCTTCACAATTCAACCTTGGTAGGTTGTATGTGTCCAGGAATTTACCCATTTCTTCTAGGTTTTTCAGTTTGTTAGCAAATAGTTGTTTGTAATAGTCTGTTATGATCTGTGTATTTCTGTGGTATCAATTGTAATGTCTTCTTTATTCATTTCTGGTTTTATTTATTTGAGTCTTCTCTTTTTTATTCTTTAGTCTAATGGTTTATCAATTTTGTTTATCTTTTCTAAAAACCAACTATTCATTTCATCAATATTTTTTTTTTTCCTTTTTGTCTTTTTCCATGTCCGGCAACGGATCGCAACCCTCAGTGTCGCCCCCGTACCGGACCGGGACCAGCAACGGGATCACAACCCTCGGTGTTGCTCCCGCGCCTCGCTCCGCCAGTGAGCGGGAACCGGCCTGTATGTGGGATCCGAACCCTCAGCGGGAGCGCCGCCGCACTTCCCAAGTGGCGCACTACAGCAGTGCGCCACTGGGCCGGCCCCCCCATTTCATCAATATTTTTGATTATTTTATAAATATCTAATTCCTTTATTTCTGCTGTGATTTTTGTTACTTCTCCTTCTCCTAATTTTAGGTTTGTTTTGTTTTGTTTTTCTAATTCCTTGAGGCGGAATGTTTGTTTATTTGAAGGCTTTCTACTTTTTTTTTTTTTTGTCTTTTGTCTTTTTCCGTGTCCGGCAACGGATCGCAACCCTCAGTGTTGCCCCCGTACCGGACCGGGGACCGGCGACGGGATTGCAATCCTCGGCGTTGCTCCCGCGCCTCGCTCAGCCAGTGAGCGGGAACCAGTCTGTATGTGGGATCCGAACCCTCGGGCGGGAGCGCCGCCGCGCTTCCCAAGCGGCGCACTATCCAGTGCGCCACCGGGCCGGCCCTTGATGTAGACATTTATTGCTATAAACTTCCCTCTTGGAACTGCTTTGGATGTATCCTATAGGTTCTGGCATGTTGTGTTTCATTTTCATTTGTTTTTAGGCATTTTTAATTTCCTTTTTGATTTTTTCTTTAACCCGTTCACTGATTAGGAGCATGTTGTTTAAGTTCCATATTATCGTACAGTTTCCAGTGTCCTGTCTGTTACTGATTTCTAGTTTTATTCCATTGTGGTTGGACAAGATAGTATGATTTCATTTTTAAAAAAATTTGTTGTGACTTGTTTTGTGACTAGTATATGGTCTTTTCTAGAGAATGTTCCATGTGCTAGTTAGAAAAATGTGTATTCTGCAGTTGTTGGATGAAATGTTCTATAAATGTCCATTAGGTCTAATTGGTCTAGAAAGGAGATTAACTCTGATTTTCTTGGTAAATTTTCTGTCTGGATGATCTGTCCTTTGCTGAAAGGGGGTTAATAAAGTCTCCAACTATTATTGTGTTGGAGTCTATTTCTACCATTATGTCTAGTAGTATTTGCTTTATATATCTGGGTGCTCTGGAGTTGGGCGTATGTATATTTAGAATTGTTATATCATCTTGGTGAACTGATCCCTGTATCATTATATAATGACCTTTATCATTTTTTTTTTACTTTCCTTAGCTTGAAGTCTGTTTTGTCTGACATAAGCATAGATACTCCTGGGCTTTTTGATTTCCATTTGCAGGAAATATCTTTTTCCAATTCTTCACTTTAATGTGGGTCTTCATAGGTGAAGTGAATTTCCTATAAGTAGTATATTGTTCTTATTTTATAATCCATTCTGCTGCTCTGTGTCTTTTAATTGTGGAAATTAATTCATTTGCGTTTAGAGTTATTATCATTACACAGGGACTTATTAATGTCATTTTGTTACTTTTTTTCTTGTTGTTTTGTAGAACCTTCTTTCCTTTTTTCCAGTCTTACTTTCTTCCTTTGTGATTAAGTGGTTTTCTCTAATAGAATATTTTGATTTCTCACTACTTATTTTTAGTATGTCTACTACAGGTTTTTGTGCTATGGTTACCAAGAGGTTTACACAAAATGTTATAGTTATAATAAATTATTTAAAAATAATAACAACTTTGATGGCTAAGAAAAAAGAAAAAAACAAAGCCAACTCTAAAGTTTAACATTATTCTTCCCCTCTTTCTAACATTCCATTGTTTCAAGTTACAACTTTTAATATTTTCTATCTCTTATTCAGTTGTTGAATTTGTTATTATCCTTTTGGGTTTGTCCTTTAGTATTCATAGTGAGGATATAAGTGGTTTATTCACCAGCCTTATAACACTGAAGTATTCTGAGATTGTTTACATACTTCATTAGTGAGTTTTATACCTTCAAATGTTTTCTTGTTACACTTTAGCATTGTCATCTTTCAGTGTGAAGAACTCACTTTAGCATTTCTTGTAAGGCAGGTCTAATGTTGGTGAATTTCCTTAGCTTTTGTTTGTCTGGAAAAAACTTTATATTTCCTTCATATTTGAAGGTCAACTTTGCTGGATACAGAATTTTTGGCTGACAGTCTTTTTCCTTCAGCACTCTGAATATATCATCCCATTCCCTCCTGGCCATTAGGGTTTCTGCCGAGAAATCCACTGAGAGATATATTGAGGCTCTGTTGAGTGTTGTGTTTTTCTCTTGCTGCTTTCAGTATTTTTTATCTTTGCTTTTTTTTTTTTTTCCCCTTTTGTCTTTTTTCGTGACCGGCAACGGATCGCAACCCTCAGTGTCGCGCCGGGACCGGCATCGGGATCGCAACCCTCGGTGTTGTGCCCACACCTCGCTCAGCCAGTGAGCGGCCGGTCTGTATGTGGGATCCGAACCCTCAGCGGGAGCGCTGCCGCACTCCCAAGCGGCGTACTGTAGCAGTGCGCCACCGGGCCGGCCCCTATCTTTGCTTTTTAATAATTTGATTATGATGTGCTTGGGGTATTTCTCTTTGAACTGAATGTGGTTGGTGACCTCTGAGCTTCCTGTACGTGAATGCTGTCATCTTTCTCCATATTTGGTAAATTTTCAACCATTATTGCCTTAAATATGCTTTCTAGGTCTCTTCCTTTTTTGTCTCCTTTGGATACTCCAATTATGCAGAGGTTATTTTGCTTGAATGAGTCCCATAACTGCTTCAATTCTGTTTCATTTTTTCTTATTCTTTTTTTTTTTCGCTCCTCTGATTGGTTAATTTCATATGTTCTACCTTTGAGTTCACCGATTTTGTCCTCTGACCAAGTTTGCTGTTGGAGCTCTTTACTAAGTTTTTCACTTCACATTAACGTACTCTTTATTTCTAGAACTTCTATTTGGCTTTTAAAAGTGGATTCTATTTCATTGTCAAGTTTCTTGTTCTACTCCTGGATTGTTTTCCAATTATCGTTTAATTTTCTATCTATATTTTCTTGTGATTCCCTGAACATCTTTAAGTGGATTATTCTGAATTCCCTGTCAGGCATTTTATAAATCCTCTGTTCTTCTGGGTTCATTTTTGTTGGTTTCCTCTGGTGTCATATTTTTCTGTTCTTTCTTAATTTTTGTCTTCGGGTTGTTGCCTGGGCATTTGAGATGGCTGCCTCTTCCAGGTTTTATAGTTGTTCTTTGGTGCTGTTAGACCTTTGCTGCTCAATGTCAGAACTTTGTCTTTGGTTTGTGGTTGTTTTCCATTCTCTGGTGGAATAATAGCAACCGCCACCTCTTAAAAACTGTGCTGGAAGTAATTTGATACCCTGTGGTTAATTCCTGGATTGGGGGACATTTACTTTGGGGACTGGAACTTGAACTCTGTGCCTGAGCAAAATTGCTGCCTTACTGTTGTTTCTCAGATTGGTACCAGATTTTAAATGTCGGCCTTTTAGTCATTTCCTGATCATGTGGGAAATTCCAAATGCCTCTGGGATATGTGGAAATTCCAGCCTGGGACTGAGTCTTTCTCACAAACTGTGCCCCCTACAGTTCTATTGCACTTACCAGTCTCCACTTGTGTGGCAATTTTGTTGATGAGAAGGCAGATCAGCTGCCTACACTGCTCCCCTGTACAGTCCTATTGGATCAGTGTCCCCCACCCCCACCCACTGCAAACATTTCTCATGGGGCAGGCTCTGCAAGAGTTCCCTGTGAAGACTAACCAAACTCTGGGTCATTTCTTACTCCTGTTGGCTGTGTCCGCTCCCTCCTATGTCGGCACAGGGGAAGCTTGAGAGCAGCTTTGCTGGTCTGGGAAATGGGATGGTGCACTCCAAAGTGATTTTTTTTTTTTTTTTTTTTTTTTTACCAGAGGTTGCTGCACCCTTTTCCTCTGCAGATTCCAAGTAGCTTCATGCAAAGGGTGCTACTGCTGCTTTGCCATGTTTAGGTAGCTGCTGCATGTTCTGGTAGCTGCTCATTGAGTGGTTGGGTCTGGGTTTGATCTGGATAATCCTTCCTCCTGCTCCTTGTGGCTTTCCACACCTTCATGGACTCTTATTGTTGTGTGTTTTTCTCTTGCTGCTTTCAGTATTCTTGGGTCACTCTTCCTCCTGCTCCAAGTTCCAGTGATTACAGGATGGAAGTTTTTGTGTTTTAATTGTTGTAAGTTGATTGGTTGTGAGGAGCAGCAACACAGGGATCCTCCATTCCACCACCTTGTTGATGCCACTTCCCGTCTGAGCATAGTGTTCTGAGTTTGTGTTGTAATGAAATTATTGAAGTGGTTTTAAAGTTGTTGGCATGAAACTTACTGATGTACTTGTTGATTCCCAGACAATATTTGCACAGTTTCAACACAGTCGAGAAAAAGCACTTCCCTCAGATAACATAAGGCATGCTCTTGCAGAAAGCTTCAAAGATGAGCAGCGATTTCAACTTGGCCTTATGGATGATGCTGCTGAGTGCTTTGTAAGTATTTCTGATAATCTTTAAGAAGCCAAAATAGTAGTTTTCATTCGCTAGATGATGCAGATTTTGAGAAAAATGAAACAAAAATTCATAGCAATAGAAAAGTGTTAGAACTGGTCAGTAGATTCATGTCTTACCCATCCTTCAAGGATCTATTTAAACTCATCTGTATTTTGTGTTATACTTTTGATTTGATTATTTCTGCTGCTATAATTTTTACTGAGTGTTAGGCCACTAAAATATTTTAAAATTTATTTGTTGCAGCAAGAACTTTGCTAAACATAAATTATATTACTTAAATTAGTGTTCTACGTCAACAGGTTTTCCATGTCCAACACATTCCCAGCAGTAATATTTCTCACTGCATGCATTGAGTCTCACTGGGAGAGAAGGGGATCTTGTTTGGCAACTGTCAAGGCCACCATTTCTGATACATGCCATACTCCGGGTTGAGAATCACTGAGGTGGTTATTCTAAGGCACTGTGTTACCACCATGTTAATAAGTAGAGCATTCCTTTGATCAGGAATATATATACCCTATATACCTTCTAAAATATGTATGTTGTTTATTAAATGTCTCAGTAATATAGATGCCACCTACATGTAAGACAGAACCATTTCTTCTCTTAGCATTATTTGAGCCTCCTTACTATAGTGTCCATTCAACCTGTCCCTTTACATTCCATTTTCAGTGGCCACCAGATTAATATAATTTTCTTCAAGTTAATGCTTAATCTTCAAATATTTCTGTGATTCACACCTACACTTTTTCTGCAGACATTTAATGTCCTTTATAATTAAATGTTACGTTATACTGTTTGTTTTGCTAAAAAAAAAATTTTAAGCTAATGCTACAAATGGTGAATAACTGAACAACATTTGAAGTGTTGATTAGAGAGGAAAACTAAAAAGCTGACAATGTGTATGATGCTCCTAAATTTACACTTTGGAAAATCTTCAGTTAAAAAGAGTTGCATTTTGAAGTGTTCTCTGCAAGATCAGCAACTCCTATGTCTTTTTTATTTTTAAATTAGGAAAATATATTGGAGAGGATTCATTTTCACATAGTGCCAAGCAGAGATGCAGACATGTGTACCTCTAAATCTTGTATCACTCACCAGAAGTTTGCTATGACTCTGTACGAACAGGTGAGATGGCTTAATTATTTTATTAGATATTACATTTATGTTTTATGATTGATAGATTAAATGTATGTTTTTACCTATAGTGTGTGTGTCGTAGCTGTGGAGCATCATCAGATCCTCTACCTTTTACAGAATTTGTGCGGTACATTTCTACAACAGCCTTATGGTAAGAACCTATTAAAGCTCATTCCCAGCACACATTTAATAACACGTTTAGGCACATTGAGCATTTATTCTATAAACCCACATTAAACTCATTAAAGCTATTTCTTAATCAACAAAATAGTGTTTTTGATAAAACACATACATATGTGAATTTCCCCTCTCTGTCTGAGACTAACAAATATGCTACTAACAGAGGTACTAAGTAATATCTATCTCATTTAGATGTTTGTAATTTAGCCTAATATATGTATCATTTAGTGAAATGTACAAAATATTAGTCACAATTTCTATAAATTTGTAGCAACTTTTTGGAATGGTGAAAGGAAGCGTAAAATGGCAAACACAATGGTAAATAGAACTGTACATGGTTTCTTCATTTTTGCTAAGATGTTCCTTTTGTAGTGGCTGTGTACTTGTCAGGTATACTATGTCCCTTCATGATGATAAGAGTTAGGGTAAGCAGAAGAGGAAGAAAAATGTGAACATACTCCTCAGGTTACTGCATTCGAGGTCTCAGTATTCACCTTACATAAAAATTTACCGTGATTTCTTGCCTGCCTGCCTGCCTCTTCCCTTTCCCTCATTGTCTGTGAAACATTAGCTAGTCTAAAAATGATCCCTAGACCTCACATAATAAAGATTGTTGGAATACTTTCCAATAAGTATTTGAGAATATAAATATTTTATGTGATAAACATTTAATGAGATCATAAATGTTTGCAGAAATTTTATGCAAAATACATAACATAGATCAATTATTACCTATCAGAATACATCAGTCCAACAGTTAGTTGATGAATGCTGCCAATATTTTTGTCAGTGTACAAAGTGAACATCATGTTTTCATCTATTTCATATTATTTAACTTCTTTTCTTGGGTGTAACACATTATTTCTTAAAGATTATTGAAAAAAAACTATTTGGTTATTTGAGTGTGTTTAACATCTTTCTTATATATACAAAGTTGAAAAACATTGGTTTAGAGAGACATTCTCTAAACTTCAGTCAATTGTAGGCTCTTTTTTTTTTTTTTTGTACGAAAAGTAGGATGGTGTTTGAACAAGGATAGACCAGAAATAAAAAGCAATAAAATTTTAACTATACTTTGAAACTTTTGTATAAAGTAACAGCACCGTGAGATAGTATCTAACATAATAAGAATTAGATCCCCATCAATCTCTGCCTGATCCACACTGCAAATTACAGGACTACAGACTTTGAATTCTAATTCTAATTTCTCTTTTTTTTGGTAATAAGGATTGAATTCCAATTATCAAATACTATGTTCCAGGTTTTATGTAAATTGTCTCTTTTAATCTCATCAAAAACACTATTTTGTTGATGAAGAAACAGGTTTAATGATGTTAATCTGGTAAGTAGATGAATTAAGATTCAAACCCAGCTATGTATGACTTCAGAATTTGCCTGGTTAACCAATACTCTGATGCTGTCAGTTTTGTAAAATCATTACATGCAATTTGAATGAGCTTATTAGATTTAGGGCTTTCTAGCACACTTGTAAAGTGTTTTGGAAGGGTACTTTTAGATGTTATCATATACTTGTAGGTGATTTAAACTATCGAACTTTAAAATATATCCAGCTCTAGGACAGTTTTATTACAATTAAGTAGAACCAGAGTATCTAGAATGTAAACTACTAAGGGTGTTTCAGCCAACATTATATTTCTTTTTGGAAATGTTTAAATAGTTGTTTAAAGGTACTTAATACCTTGATATGTAAAAATATGATTCTTAGGGAGGTTGAATAAAAAGTAGCAGAGTTACCCTGTAATGAATTAAAAGGTCTGAGTAGGCTCTAATCAAATGATTAACATTCATAATTGGAACAAAAGGCACAAGTCTGGCTTAAATAACTTTGGTTCTGACTTCTGCATTAATTAGCAAAAGGCCTTTTCCTAGCTGAAACTGTTACCTTTGTTTCTGGGAACTCTGAGCCAAAGAGGGAGCCTTTCCTATAATTTTGTTGTTTTTGTTAGGGTAGAGTTTAAACTCAAATCCCTACATGTTAAGTAATAATTAAAAAAAATATTTTGCCTTAGAACTACCTTCAGACAAAGCATCTTATCCTCATTTATGTAGTTCCAAACAAAAGTATAATTTTATGTTATTTTATTCTATACTTGGCCTAATTTTATTCATTATATACTTGCCAAATTTAATAATTTTCCATTGTATGGAAATTTACTTTATGATTAATTTTTCAGACACAGTCATGTTTTAGGAAAGGCGATATGTACCTATATTGACAACTTAATATTTTTCATGCATAATATATTAAATCTGTTTTAAGTGCATAGGCTAGATTTGGGACTTATTTGGGACTTTTTTTTTTTGTAGCAATGAAGTTGAAAAAATGATGGAAAGGCATGAACGCTTCAAGCCTGAAATGTTTGCAGAATTGCTACAAGCAGCAAATACAACTGATGACTATAGGAAATGTCCTGTAAGTATAATTTGGAGAATGTTAGTATGTTTCTATGTTTGTAAATTTGAAAATTGACATTCAGAAATTATCACACAAATATTAATTCTATATAGAGATTTAACTATAAGAATTTATTTTTTCAATGTTATTTTTTCAAACTTTATACCATGTGAGCTATTTATCTTAGCACTATTTCCTTAAAAATCTAAACTATGTGAAGGAGTTATGGTAGCATATGTTGACTGGATTTTTTTCAAAGTCCTGAAATTTGTCATTTAACTAGAGAGAGAGGTTTTTTTCTTTAAATAAATATGATAAGTGATATTCTTTTCTCATCTAATATTGTTAATGACTTCAGGAGTTTTATTTCTGCTTTTTTTTTTTTTTTTTTTTTTTTTTTTTTTTTTTTTTTTCCTTTTTGTCTTTTTTCGTGACCGGCAATGGATCGCAACCCTCAGTGCCGCGCCGGTACCGGACCGGGACCGGCAACGGGATCGCAACCCTCGGTGTTGCTCCCGCACCTCGCTCAGCCAGTGAGCGGCCGGTCTGTATGTGGGATCCGAACCCTTGGCGGGAGCACCGCCACACTCCCAAGCAGCGCACTGTAGCAGTGCACCACCGGGCCGGCCCTTTCTGCTTTTTTTGATTGAATTCTTATTTTGACATATTTACAAAAATACTAAAGAATACTTTGATTTAAAATAAACTTCTTGTTTAATCAATAATTAAGACAAATAGCTTGTTAGAAGTCAATTTCTGATATACTGAAGAATTAGATTTCAGATGTATGTTAAGATTATCATTGTATAATACTGTATAAATAAAGCTTTGCATTTAATATGTCTGTTTTGATAATTTCAAAATTTGCCTTTTGTGTTTTTCTGTAGAGTAACTGTGGCCAAAAAATAAAAATTCGCCGTGTTTTAATGAATTGCCCAGAGATTGTTACAATTGGCTTAGTCTGGGATTCTGAGCATTCTGACTTGACCGAAGATGTTGTTCGGAATCTAGCAACACGTCTTTATCTTCCTGGGGTACCACAATGTTTTCATTCTCTTCACTTTTAAATTTCTCTAAAACATCTTAATATATTGTGATACACTTACTTTTGTCTTTCGAAACTAAATTTTCTTTCTAAAAGCAATAGTAATAATCAGATGTAACTCTGATAAAATATAAATTTAATCATACCAGGTTGACTGAATGCCTTTCCTGCATAGACAAGAAAGGGCTTTTAATTACAGACTAAACTATCTCATGCCCTTTTCCTCTTTCACTGCATAATAATGATGTGATAATTATATATATATATATGTGATCATGTTTATAAATATAAATATTAATATAAAAATGTTTAAGATTTAAAATTCATCTGTAGCACTGATTTCTTTATATGCTTCATTGTTACTTAATATTTTGAATTGGTTTATGTTACAATTAAAATTTTAGATAATTATTTCTTAATTAATATGTTTAATGTATGTTCAAATATGTGATTCAATCAAGAATCATCAGGAATATGTAATTTACTTACATTTTGAGTTTATATATATATAAAGTGTCAGTTCTGTATTACTGAAGAGCTGTGTTACTGAACTTATTTGTAGTGAATTTATTTTATTGGACTTAAAGTTTCTATGGACTACTTAAAAGTAGTAATTCTGTTAACAGTGCAATGTCAGTAGTGCCTTCAGTACTAATATCTTAATACTGGATTGGGACAGTATACATGAGAAATTTTTTTCATAATAAGTGTAATACATGATTTATCAAATTATTGTTCCTCACTCTGTAAAAGATATAATATTAAGTGTACATTATTAATTTTTTAAACAGCTTTTTTATAGGGTTACTGATGAAAATGCCAAAAATAGTGAACTTCACCTTGTTGGTATGATCTGCTATACCAGCCAACATTACTGTGCCTTTGCTTTTCATACCAAGAGTTCCAAATGGGTATTTTTTGATGATGCAAATGTGAAAGAGGTAAGTGACACTTTCACTAACTGGAATAATTATTTTTTTTTACTTTTCAGGAAAAAAATGTTATAATAATAATGGTATAGAAAATGACATAATTGTTGTACAACATAATAACAAATGAATGTAATAATAGTATCATTAAGTTCAAACTTCTTTTTATTATTAACATATGCCTTATTTTGAAGCCAACTTTTAAACCAATTGATTTCCAGAATAATAAAAAGTTGACTAAGAAATGTTAGTATACAAATATTAACTGTTAGTGATCCCTGTGTCAGTGATGATCATGCCCTTTTGTCTGATACATAGATATGTGTATTTCTTTGTAGATGGTTCACAGTTGCTTGTGTAACTATTGATGAAAACATACTTGCTTTTTAAAATTTTTTACGACAATGTTTTTAAATTTTGAGTGTGGTATACAGTTATATATATCTGTTATATCCTTTGGTAAATAATTTACTTATTCAAACATAATATTGTGTAGAAAACTAGTGAATAGTAGTTCTTAATAAGGAGTATTGCAATCAGTGAAGCTTTTTAAAAAACATACAAGAAAGAAAAAAAAAGGGCTGGCCCGGTGGCGCACTGCTATAGTGCGCCGCTTGGGAGCGTGGTGGCGCTCCCACCGAGGGTTCGGATCCCATGTATAGACCGGTTCCTGCTCACTGGCTGAGTGAGGTGTGGCCACAACACCGAGGGTTGCGATCCCGTTGCCGGTCCCGGTCCGGTACGGGCGTGACACTGAGGGTTGCGATCCGTTGCCGGACAAGAAAAAAGACAAAAAGGAAAAAAAAAATAAAATAAAAAACATATACAAGGATACTTCCAAAAGTTAGTGGAAAATAGAACTACAAGATAATATGAATCTTTAGGCAGCCGAAATAGCTCAATTGGGAGAGCATTAGACTGAAGATAATATGAATCTTTCCATGAACTTTTTGAAGACCCCTTGTATGCTTGGAGTCTTAGATTCTTGATTCGGTGGTATAGGGGCAGGTATCTGAATTTTTTAAAACTTCTACAGAAGATTCAGACTTAGCACAGTTGAAACTGTTGATCTTGTCAATACTGTTCTCAGGCTTGTTGACCTTAAGAATACCATTATTAAGTAGTAAACTGATGTAAAAATACAAGTTCTTTGGTTGTTACAAGCAGATGATGTAGAATTACATTTAGCTTCACTTTAATATATAACAAAGGACCATTTAACAGCACTACGATTAACTAAGTCAATAAAATATCAAATTTTGGTGTTTAGTGGACTTCTGTCCACCCATGAAATATTAATGGCTATGGAAATAGCCCTTTCACTGTTAAAAACTAGAAAAACAAACAAAATAGATGAAACAACTCTTTTTAGACATTGGAAAACATGCAGTTGAACAGAGAAAAGGGAAACAAATGAGATAAGCTCTACAATTACCCCTGCTTACTGCCTAGAGGTAGTTTTGGAGTTGCAGTGCAGGGAGCGGGAACCCAAACAAAGCCCAGTAGTCTCACTGAGTTCCAGAGACCAAAACGAGTTCAGAGAGGCCAAGAAGGCTAAAAATTTGCAGGATGGAAAACTAGAAAGAAGGCTGCACAGAAGGAAGGTCCTGGAGATTGAAAGAGGGATCTCCTTGAATCTTTCGATGAATGGTGATCTATGCATGTATGGGGCAAACCTGCATGAGCAGTATTGGGGTGGGGAACCACTGGAAAACAGAAAGCCAAACAATTCCCAAAACTCATGCAAAGCTGGTAATAGTTTGCATCCTCACCATCAAGAGTGGAGAGATATTGTAACACATAAGCATCAGCTAGAATCCTCAAAAAAATATTGCCTTGATAATGGGGCTATGTTATACCTAGACTGAAGGTTGTTCTCAACCTGAGGTAAAAAGTTTGAAATGAAGCCTTGAAAGGACTGAGCTAATTCTACTTTTTAAAAGATCACAACAAAATTCAAAGCCTAACAATGTAAAATTCAATAAAATTTCAATACGTCTTTTCAAAATGGCATTCAATAAAAAATTACCAAATATGCAAAATAGGAAAATATCACCCATAACTAAAAGAAAATAAATGACCAGAAATGACATAGATGGAAATATCAGACAAGGATATTAAAACCACTTTTTATGTAGAGAGATTTTTTTTTTTTTCCTTTTTGTCTTTTTTCGTGACTGGTAACGGGATCACAACCCTCGGTGTCGCGCCTGCACCGTGCTCAACCAGTGAGCGGACTGGTCTCTATATGGGATCCGAACCCTCGGCGGGAGCGCCACTGCGCTCCCAAGCGCCGCACTCTACCGAGTGCGCCACCGGGCTGGCCCGAGAGATTTCTAAAGTAACATTCAATAGCATGAACTATAAAAATAAATGATAAATTGGACTTTATCAAAACTTAAAACTTTTGCTCTTCAGTAAGATAATGTTAGGAGAATGAAACAAAAAGCCATAGACTGGGAGAAAATATCTGTCAAATATATATCTAATAAAGACTATATCCAGACTATATAAAGAACTCTTACAACTCAGTAATAAAAAGACAACCCAATTAAAGAAATGAGCAAAAGATTTTGACAGTTCACCAAAGAAGATATATAAATGGCCCTTGAAATATTTAATACATCATTAGCCACAAAGGAAATACTAATTTAATTTACAATGAGATTTCAGTATTCTCTCATTACAGTGGCTAAAATTTAAAGGACTGACCATACCAAGAGTTGTTGAGGATGTGGACCAGTTAGATCTTTCATATGAGACTGATAGAACTGAAAAACTGAACAGTCACTTTAGAAAACAGTTTGTCAGTTTCTTATAAATTTAAACATATGCTTACCATACAGCCCAGCAATTCCACTCCTGTGAAAACACATGTCCACACAAAATTTGTACTTGAATGTTTGTGGTAGTTTTCTTCTTAATAGCCAGAACTGGAAACAATTCAAATTTCCAACAACAGGTGAATGCATAAACAAATTGTGATGTAGCTCTACAGTGGAATATAATACTCAGCAATAAAAAGTAATGAACTATTGATACATACAGTAATGTAGACAAATCTCAGAAGCATTATGCCAAGTGAAAGGAGCAAGACATAAATGACTGCTATGATTCCATTTACATGAAATTCTAGAAAAGGAAAAAACAAAGTTGTAAAAAGTAGATGAGTGGTTTCCTGGGACTGCAAAGGGGGAAAGGGGGAAGATTTTAGGGTGAGGATTACATGACTGTATATATTTGTCAAAACTGACTGGTTGTATGCTATAACGGGATACTTTTATTTCTTGTAAATTATACCTCAATAAAGCTGATGAAAAAATTTTGGTATTTATATTCTAAAGTCAGGACTTTGCTTGAATTAATTAGTACTTTGATACAGGAGTTTGTTAAGAAGTTTCATCTTGAGTCAGTGTATAGCAACATTTTGGAGCTCCTACTTTGCATCTACATAATTTAAATTGTATTTTTTTTTTCTTCATTAAATTTTTATTTTGTCAATATACCATATATATGATTATTATGGCCCATCACCGACACCTCCCTCCCTCCTCCCTCTCTCCCCTCCCCCCCAAGAATGTCCTTTCCGTTAGCTTGTTGTAACAACTTCATAAAAGTATAGCTGTTATATCTTCTCCCCCCCCCCGGTTTTTTTTGTGTGTGTATGTGGGTGAATTAATTTGTTTATTTTTTAGCTCCCACCAATGAGTGAGAACATGTGGTATTTCTTTTTCTCTGCCTGACTCGTTTCACTCAATATTATTCTCTCAAGGTCCATCCATGTTGTTGCAAATGGCAGTATTTCATTCGTTTTTATAGCTGAGTAATATTCCATTGTGTATATATACCACATTTTCCATATCCACTCATCCGATGATGGACATTTGGGCTGATTCCAACTCTTGGCTATTGTAAAGAGTGCTGCAATGAACATTGGGGAACAGGTATACCTTCGACTTGATGATTTCCATTCCTTTGGATATATTCCCAGCAGTGGGATAGCTGGATCGTATGGTAGATCTATCTTCAGCTGTTTGAGGAACCTCCAAACCATTTTCCATAGGGGTTGCACCATTATGCATTCCCACCAACAATGTAAGAGAGTTTTAGAGGAAGAACTGGGTATATTAATCACCCTGTGAAGTTTTTTGTTTGATTTGTCTTCAAACTGGCTCCTCAAGTATCTCAGAATCCCAGGTGAGGAGGGTAAACAGCTGAACATGTGTAGTTTGAAGAAGATTCTCCGGATTTTTTTTTAAAGGCCCCTTCCCTGAAGAAACCAATATTCTAGAATGCTTTGTAGGTTTTTTGTTTGTTTTGTTTTAACCCAGCTTTATAGAGATATAACTTATAAATATTAAAATGCACCCCTTTTAAGTGTACAGTTTGAGTTTTGACTAATGTGTACACCTGTGTAACCACCATAATCAGTACTGTCATCCCTTGGTACCCATGGACACTCCCCCCCACCCCCGCAGATACAAAATCCACAGATGCTCAAGTTGCATACACAAAATGGTGTAGTATTTGCATATAACCTGTGTGCATCCTCCTGTACCATCTCTAGATTATTTATAATACCTAATACAATGTAAATGCTATGTAAATAGTTGTTATACTGTATTGTTTCTTTGTTGTGTTATTTTTTATTTTTGTATTTTTGTTTTTATTTTTGTTTTTGTTTCTCCCCTGAATGTTTTCAGTCCATGGTTAGTTGAATCCACATGTGCAGAATACACAGATACAGAAGGCCAAATGTGTATAGAACATTTTCATCACCCCAGAAAAATTCTCTCATGCCCCTTTGCTTTCAATGCCCCCCTCCCTATCCTGGGCCCAGGAAATCACTGATTTCTCTGTAGATTAGTTTTGCCCATTCTACAATTTTATGTAAATGTTCTTTTGCAATGTGTACTACTCTGGCTTCCTTCCCTTAGTGTGAGGTCTTTAAGATGCATTCATCTTGTTTGGATCAGTGCTTCATTTTTATGGTTGTGTTCCATTTCATGGTTACACAGCAGTTTATCCATTTATTTTTTGAGGTGTGAACAGTCTTAGTGTGAACATATTTTTTTCCATTGTTCTTACATAATACCCAGAAGTGGAATTTCTGGGTTGTATAGTAAGTGTATGTTAAACTTTACAAGAAACTGCCAAATTGATCTCCAAAGTGGTTGTACCAATTTACATTCCTACCAGCAATGTACAAGAGTTCCTGTCATTCTGTGTTGGTAGTCATTTTAATTTTAGCCCTTCTAGTGGGTGTATATTATCTCACTGTGGTTCTTAATTTGCATTAACCTTGTGATTGATTATGTTTTGGTCATCTTTTCATGTGCTTATTAGCCATTCTTGTATCTATTTTTGGTGAAGTGTCTGTTCAAATGTTTGGCAGTTTTTCAAATTGGATTATCTTTTTATTAGAGATGAAGGAATTCTTTATTCTGCACACCAGGTGTTTCTTGTTTGTTTGTTTGGTGGCTGGCTGGTATGGGGATCTGAACCCTTGACCTTGGTGTTACCAGCACCACTCTCTACTGATGGAGCTAACTAGCCAGCCCTGTACACCAGTTCTTTATTAGATGTCTATTGCTTATTTTTTTTCTATTTCTTAATGGTCTCTTTTTCCAAGAGCAGAAATTATTATTATTATTATTATTTTTTTGTCTTTTGTCTTTTTCCGTGTCCGGCAACGGATCGCAACCCTCAGTGTTGCCCCCGTACCGGACCGGGGACCGGCAACGGGATCGCAACCCTCGGCGTTGCCCCCGCGCCTCGCTCAGCCAGTGAGCGGGAACCGGTCTGTATGTGGGATCCGAACCCTCGGGCGGGAGCGCCGCCGCGCTTCCCAAGCGGCGCACTATCCAGTGCGCCGGCAACGGATCGCAACCCTCAGTGTTGCCCCCGTACCGGACCGGGGACCGGCAACGGGATCGCAACCCTCGGCGTTGCCCCCGCGCCTCGCTCAGCCAGTGAGCGGGAACCGGTCTGTATGTGGGATCCGAACCCTCGGGCGGGAGCGCCGCTGCACTTCCCAAGCGGCGCACTTATCCAGTGCGCCACCGGGCTGGCCCAGAAATTATTAATTAATTTTGACAAAGTCTATTTTATAAATTTTCTTCTTTCTGTGGTTTGTTTGGTATCCCATCTAAGAAATTTTTGCCTTCCCCAAGGCTGTAAAGATTTTCTCTTTTGTTTTCTTCTATGGAGCTTATAGTTTTTATGTGATCCATTCTGAGTTAATTTTTATGTTTTATGGGTAATAAGGTCAAAGTTCTTTTTCTCATATGGATGTACAGTTGGTCTAACATCATTTGTTGAACAGACTCTTTTATATTTCTCCATTGACTTGCCTTGAAATCTTTGTCAAAAGTTAATCAGCCATGTATGTGGAAAGCTTGTTAAAATTTGATAATTAAATCTTGATATAGAAATATAGAAAACCTATGATTTTTGCCCGTCAATTGTTTAAATTATAATGTTTAAAGATTTTTATTTAGACTAGTCACTAAACAAAATCATATAATATGATGGGCAATTAAACTACTAGAATCTGAAAAATTTTAAAATTTCTTATAATACAAATTAATTCAGTCTCTGCCTTTTCATGTAACACATTGATTACAAGATTTTGTTTTGTTTTTATTCATTGTGCTTTTTAAATAGGTTGGAACTAGATGGAAAGATGTGGTCTCCAAGTGCATCCGATGCCACTTCCAGCCACTACTTTTGTTTTATGCAAACCCAGATGGCACAGCAGTTTCTACTGAAGATGCACTCAAGCAGGTTGTCAACTGGTCACATTACAAATCTGTTGCAGAAAATATGGGTAATTCTTTTTTATGCAAAATTTTTAATGTTTTTCTATTATAATCAACTAGGAATACTGATATACTGAATATAAAATGAATATTGAGGATAGTTTCAAAATTAAGTTTTAGTAAATTGGAATTCAGGAAAATGCTAGTACTTTTTCTTAATCTTTAGAAAGTAACCTTTCCTCATCAGTGGCCTCAGAAGCACCTTTGGGAGCCGCCCTCTGTTATGGTCACACAAGCGTAGAAGAGGCTGCTTGGCTGGTAGCTCTTTCTAGCAGTAAATGTTGAGATTTAAAGTGATTTTAGTAAACTGGAACAGTCCAAAGCAGCTAGGCTATGTTTGGACACAATACAAAGCATGTAGAAATCCAAGTTTTAAGTAATTTTGTCTACAAAAAAAAAATTTTCCCTACAGTATTAAAAATGTTTGAAAAGATTCAAACATCTCTTCTCCTGATGGGAAGGAAGGGAATGATACATTTTTGTTTTATCTTTTTGAGGATGTGAAAAGCCCACAATTTATAAGACAGATAATTTAAAAGAAAATGGATTTGGTGATCAGGCAAAACAGAGAGAAAATCAGAAGTTTCAAACCGATAATATTTCATCATTTAATCGGAGCCACATTCAGACAAGTGGAGGGAGGGGACCAGGTATGTGTTTAACTTGTGATTTTTATATTATCCCTGAGTGAGTAAGCCTCCCACTTTCTTTATTTACTGAGTCTAATTTCTGGTGAGAACCATATAGAAGGACGGTACTTAACTAGCTTTATTTGGCCATGAAAAGAACATAACAAGTAGATAAAATCTTATCTTTTGGTTGATGCATTTCTCTGAGAGCTATAGTTTTATTTGGCCAATTTGATTAGAAGAGTTTGAGTTTCTCCATGCACTCAGAGCTGTGGTAGGCCTGAGGCAGTCTGTACAGTTACCAAAGGAAGTTCTAGCTTGGCCTTTCTTTCAAGAAGTTAATAATCAACTTAGAGAAGAAAAACATGAGTTAATAATTTGGCTTGTATGCTAAAACTAAATTTCCATGAGGGAATTCAGCAGTAGTTCAAAGTTACTGTAGCTGTAGTGTGCTCCTCATTTTTATTCAATTCTCGTTATTGTCGTTCCATGACTTTAATTTTTCAAGGCAAGTTCTGTGACTTAGGTCCGAAAATGAGGCACCACAATATTATTTGTAGCTATGGTTTAGAAATACATAAAACTTAATCATGTTGTTCAGGATGATTTTGTAAGCAACTTTTAAGTATATTAATGAAATAATGTCTAACCATAAAGTTAACCAATTTAATCAGAGTAGTAAGACCAGAATTAACAATTATCATCAGCAAAGAATTTAAAGGCTTTTAAAAATTCATAATGAAACTATATCTTTTTCCCTCTGATAGATTATTGATTCTCTTAAATTGAGACATTTAATATTTTTCAGAAGACGCTTTCTTTTAAGCTCAGAAACAGTGAGTATGTGTTTAAGAACACAGGCATAGGAACAGACAGCTTGGGTCATATTCCCAGTTCTACACTTACAAACTATGTGAATTTGGTCAAGTTTCTAATTTCTTTGTGCCTCAGTTGCCTTACCTGAAATGGACATAGAAATTATACCTACCTCAGAATTAAAAGAATAAGACATTTAGAATAGTGCCTGGCAAATAGTGACTACTGTTTTCTTTAGCTCTTATTATTTTAGTGGTATGTATCTTTTTTTCATTTATACTTGTTTTAGGGACTATATAAGAAGTTTTAAGACAACGTACATCTCCAGTAACAGAAAAAATCATAATGAGTTTTTAGTTAAGCATAAAAATTAGTTCATTATATACTTTGTTCCGCTTTTGATATTTAACATCTTAAAATTTTTATATAATTCAGTTTTTACTTTTGTTGAGCAATTTGAAAAATGATCTGTATCATTGTAAGAATGATTTCTTTTACAGTTAAGTTAAACCACAATGATCAAAGGGAAAAGATAAAAGACATTTCCAGAGAATGTGCTCTGAAAGCCATCGAACAGAAAAACTTACTTTCTTCACAAAGGAAAGATTTAGAGAAGGGACAAAGAAGAGATTTAGGCCAACATAAAGGTAAGTTAAGAGCTTATAGCATTCATTTAAGAAGGGGCAGCTAAAAAACTTATTTTAAAACTGAATTTTATAACTTTAATATAATTTAATTTCTGTATATATTTAGATACTGTGTTTTATGTATTTACATGTTTCTTAGTATTATTTCTTTAACACACCTATATTAATCTAAAAATTCAACATTTTCCTGGTTGTTACTTAATTCTAACCTGGGATACTTGTGTTTGTGTTTTGATGTTTTTATTTTACTTTTATTAAGAAATGCAATTCACTCAAATAGTAAGGGAGGTTATAAAATTAAGTGAAAAGGCCTCTTTCCCTGCAAGCTCTGACCTTCCCTCTGTTCACCATTAATAGTTTCCAGTTCATTATAAGCATTTATGGTTTTTATGCTCTTTTCTTTATGGACATAGCATAATGTAACTGATACTGATAGACTGTGAAGAGTGATTAAAGATTTTTGTTACAGTGACATTCTTACATATACTTTTGTATATTTTCTGTGCATAGCCATAGCACAAAATTCTTTTAGAAGAATTACTGAGTCAGAGTATGTTTATTTTTAATTTTGACAGATATGGCTCAGTTGTTCTTCTGAAAGACTGAACCAGTCTGCACTCCTACCAACAGTGATTGGATATCTATTTCTTCACACTCTCAGCAGCAATTGCTTTAGCAGGCTTTTAAATCTTTACCAATATAAGAGGTAGAAAATATTTTTTTAATGGGTTTTGTTAATTATGAGTGAGATAGAATGTTTTTTTTAAAAAAAAACTGCTTTAATCTTATTATCTACCTTAGAGCTCACTTTTTAAAGTACATTTCTTTTATAAATGCTTCTCATTAAGCATAAATAGGGACTAAAAAAGCACTTTTAAATCTCAAAGCATTATGTGGTATAATTTACTTATTATTTTACCTATGACTACTTAACATTTCTTCTCAAACAAACTAGGTAACTGGCTTGTGACTAAAAAGTGGTTCTGAGGAATAGTTCATTTGTTATCTTTAATTTTTTTTTTCTTTGAAGATGTGATCAATGAAGGCCTTACACATTTCAAGTCTGGATCACCTCCTGTCCCAAATGGCTTTAGACAATATGGGAATCCACATCTATATCATAGTCAAGGAAAAGGACCATGTAAACATGACCGAGGTGCCCATCAGAGTCGAGCTTCTGCACAAATAATAAGTTCAAATAAATCCCAGATTCTTGCTCAAGGAGAGAAAATAACTGGTAAAGTTAAGAGTGACAGTGGCACTGGATATGATACAGACAGCAGCCAAGATTCTAGGGATAAAGGAAGCAGCTGTATTAGCAGCAATAGAAGCCGGAACCGAGGTTGGAAACCTATGAGAGAAACATTAAATGTTGATAGTATTTTTAGTGAAAGTGAAAAAAGACAGCATAGTCCAAGACATAAAGCAAATATCAGCAACAAACCTAAATGTAACAAAGATCAGAGTTTTAATAATTGGCCAAAAGAGAATCCAAAGCAAAAAGGTTTAATGACCATATATGAAGATGAAATGAAGCAGGAAATAGGAAGCAGAAGTTCCCTTGAATCTAATGGAAAAGGAGCAGAGAAAAATAAAGGCCTCATAGAGGGTAAAGTTCATGGGGACAACTGGCAGATGCAGAGGACAGAATCTGGATATGAAAGTAGTGATCACATTAGTAATGGATCTGCTAATTTGGACTCACCTGTTATTGATGGGAATGGTGCAGAACTGGATATCAGAGGTGTTAAAGAAGCAGTATCCTTCAGGTAATACTCAAATTGAATGAATGATACCTGCCCCCAATCTTCTCTTATTAATTATTCGAAGTAATTTTTTTTTAAAGTATAGAGTCAGTTAAGTATAATGGAAACAGCATTAGCTTAGGATGAAGAAACCTAGCATATTATAGCTTATTTGATATTTCAGATTTTTATTACTAATAGTTATTTCCTGATTCTAAAAATAACAACTGTATATTTTTAGGAAATTTGGGAAGTACAGAAATATATTACCATCGTTGCCCTCATTGTCAATTAATGATGTGTACTACAGGTTTTAAAGCATAGATTTAAATTGGTTTCATCTCAGTCATTGTTTAATTCTTCAATCTATGTAAGCTGATTGTTTAATTCTTTAATATATTTAACGCTTATTATCTCATCTCTAACATTTATAACTCACAACTGGTGCTATTTTCTATCGTCACAACCCAGTTCCATGGAAGAAATATTTTCCCTTTAGCAAATATAAAAGAATTCAGCCGAATAACTAAGTTTGTGTTCAATTAATTAATTCAGAATACATTTATCATATTACTATTAGCAGTACACTCACACTTCTCTCTATAACCTCTAGAACATTCCCATAGCTTAGTGGATAATTGGGTCAATCTAACCACTTTTTCTGCTTTTAATCCTTCTTAAACATCTTAATTTGATATTAGTTGGTGTTTGACCACATTCATTATTAAAAAGCTAGACTTACAAAAAATTAACTGCTCATGTTTTACTAAAATAAAAATTTCAATAAAGATTTAGGGAAACTTACTTGGCGGGGTAATTTTATAACACTTAGAAAGGGGTAGACTAGGACAGTAGAAAGACCAAGACTTTTTTACACAGACTTGGATTTCACAGTTACTGAACAAATTAATTTGACTTTCACAGCCTCTTAATAGCCTTAATCTCCTATTGTAAAATGAAGATAATAACTACTTTTAAGTTTTGTGGTATGTAAATTAAATAATTAATATTAAGCCCCTAGAACAGCACATGCCATATAATAATTGTTTAACAAATGTTATTTCTTTCTTTGTCTTATAATAAACTAAGATAACCTGTAATAGCTGATGTGTTTTGGGTGTGTTTTATTTTCTAGTGACCAGATTAAGACAAGCAACCTAAATATAGAACATACGGACTGTACCTTCCATCAGAGCAAAAACCACTTGGAAGGTAAAAATTTCATTTAAATATATAGTTGCAGTAAAGGATAAATTGTAGTAATTTATTGTTTCCTGTTATGATTTACTTAAGAGTAAATCCTATATGGCTTTAAAAATTATTTTAAAATAACTTTAAGATATCAATAAACTAATTTTCTTTTTATTAAGCTAATTATATATAATAGTTTAATATAGTGTGTGTACAAGGAAGAAAATCACCATTCTTTTTTGTATATATATTGTCTGTGCATGTCAGATTTTTCACATTTGCTTCACAAAGTTAATATTAGTTTTGTATCTCACTTTTTATTTAACTATCTAAATTTTTTTTGAAGTTTGCAGCCTATTTGAATGTGCTTTTTGGATATGTCTTTGATGTTATAGTATCAGTTGCATTAGATTGCTTACTTTTTCTATTTAGATGATGAAATCTTTGCATCATTTTTTTTTTCCAGCAGCTGCTTGCATTTTAATGTTCCACACTAGGAACCCTTGAACACATTGCTTTTGATACTAGCCCTTACAACAATGATGTGGGACTCAAACAGGCTATAGATCTCTATCTATGGCAACTTGTTAACACTTTTCTTTTTTTAAAAGATGACCAGTAAGGGGATCTTAACCCTTGACTTGGTGTTGTCAGCACCACGCTCTTCCAAGTGAGCTAACCGACCATCCCTATATAGGATCTGAACCCGTGGCCTTGGTGTTATCAGCACCACACTTTCCCGAGTAAGCCACAGGCTGGCCCTTAATACTTTTCTTTTACTCAAGAGAAAGCACATTTCTATATTTGCTAAGAAAAGGCCATGATCTCATAATTTATTTATTATTATTATTATTATTTTCTATTTTTATTTTTGAAATTGACCAGAAAGGTATGGGTTAGTTTTATTATTTGCATTTTCCAGAAATTACTAATTTTCTTTCCTCAAAATGTGATGCTCAAAAGTTGAAAGCCAGAATACCATTACAAATAAAGAGGAAAATTGTTATAGCTTAAAATGCCTTGAGTTACAATTATATAACATATGCTGTTAAAAAAATGTTGTCGAGTAGTCCGTCCTTCCTTCCTTCCTTCCTTCCTTCCTTCCTTCCTTCCTTCCTTCCTTCCTTCCTTCCTTCCTTCCTTCCTTTTTCTTTTTCTTTTTTTCTTTGTCTTTCTCTATTTCCCTCTTAGCACCCACTAATGAGTGAGGAAATGCAGTATTTCTCTTTCTGTGTCTCGGTTATTTCACATAACATAATTTTCTCCAAGTTCATCCATGTTGCTGCAAATGGCAGAATTTTATTCTTTTTTACGAATGAGTAGTATTTCATTGTGCATATATACCACAATTTCCTTATCCAGTCATCCATTGATGGACATTTAGGTTGGTTCCATATTTCGGCTATTGTAAACAGAGCTGTGATGAACACGGGATTGCAGGTGTTCAACATGATGATTTCCATTCCTTTGGTTATATACCCAGTAGTGGGATTGCTGGATCGAATGGTAGTTCTATCTGTAGTTGCATGTCACTTGTCTTGACAAGTTAAAGGAATTGCTGTGATTGCTGTGTCTTCTTCCCCCCACCCTTTGTTTGTATATTTATTTATTTATTTATGGCTCCCACAAATAAGTGAGACCATGTGATATTTCTCTTTCTGTGCCTGACTTGTTTCACTTAATATAATTTTCTCTAGTCCATCCATGTTGTTGCAAATGGCAGTATTTCATTCTTTTTTATAGCAGAGTAGTATTCCATTTTGTCATGATCTCATAATTTAAAAACCGTGGTCTTTAGATTGTTATTTGTAACCTCCCCTTTTTTAAACAGTGGACATGTAAGATTGTCACAAAAAGAGAACGGCCAGTTTTTCTCTGACATAAGTAAGGAAGATAAGAATGGTCCTATTCCTGATGAGATTATGAGTAATAAGGAGGGAACTTGGGAGTGTTCGCGGTCAAAGGCTTTTAAATAATGGGAATAGCTACTTTGGGCATTGAAAAAGGGGGGAACTGTATCAGCCAGGATAGGCTAGGTTCTAGGCTACGCTATGGTGATAGCTTCAAAAACTCAATATCTTGACACAAGTTTGTTTCTTGCTCACAAATATGTCCAGTGGAGGTCAGCGTGGAGTCTCTAGGAATCACTCAAGGCCCTGGGTAATGGGGTGTGGACTGAGGGAGAGTTGGAGGATTCAATATGGAGAATCACCTGTAACTCTTAAAACTTCAAACCAGAAGTGACACATGTACGTCCACTCATATCTCATTAGCCAAGGCAAGTCTTATAACCAGGCCTAATTTCAAAGACGGTAGAAAAATGCAATTTTATAGGTGCCTAGAAGTGAATTGAAGTACGTGTGAACAGCCCTAATGACTGCTGCAGGAGTTAAGAACAAATAGAAAGATTGGTAAATAGTCTTCTGGAAAAGTTCAGTTGGGGAAAAATAAATGTGTAAATAAATATATAATGGTGTGGCATTATTATAGGTAATTTGTTAGCAACACGTAGTGGCCCAGAGCAATGAAAATTAGATGTTTGAATGTGTACAGGATTCAGGATTGCTTTGGGAAGGATATACCTAAAGAATTTGGGGGGAAGGGGGTCAAGGAAAATGATGAGCAAGGAAATTATTGATGTTGTAATCAAAAACAGTGTTTTCAAATTTTGGAATTCAGAGGAACAGAAGGGATATAATTTTTCCTAATAAAAAATAGCCATGAACAATGAATTTTAATGTTGTTTTAGTCTTTATCATCCTTAAGGTTTTGGTGGAGATTATTTTTCAGGTTGTAGACACTGAAAATGATTACATATTAAATGGTTGTGTTTTCATCAAATGGTATAATATCAGAAGGAAACACTTATGTTAAGGAAATAACCTTTCTTTCCCATATTAACATGTCTCGCCTGTTTAAAAAATCTGATAAAAGTCTGGTAGTCACGTATCACAGGAAACAGTAAAGGTGGCCAGAAATCACAGTAGAAGTAAGTGAGATTGAACAATAACTTCAGGTTCAGTACTCTTTACAAAATGATGCTTGCTTCCTGGTAGGTATAAAAACTCAAGGTCATAGAGATTTTGATGGTCAAGAGTGCATTGCTATAAGAGTTTTGCAGTATGTTTCTCCGTTTAACATGGAAGAGCATGTATGTAACACACTTAAAAACTTTTTTATTATAAAATATACATAACAAAACTTATTACCATTCTAACTGTTTTTAAATGTACAGTTGAGTGCCATTAAGTACATTCACTTTGTTGTACAACCATCACCACCATTCATCTCCAGAACTTTTTTATCTTCTCAAACTGAAACTCTCAACCCATTGAACAATTCCCCATTCTTCCCTCACCCCAGCCCCTGCAACCATCATTCTTTCTGTCTCTATGAATTTGATTACTCTAGGTACCTCATGTAAGTGGAACCATACTATATTTGTCCTTTAGTGTCTGGCTTATTTCACTTAGCATAATGACTTTAAGGTTTATCCATCTTGTAGCATGTATCAGAACTTCATTCCTTTGTAAGTCTTAATAATATTTCATTTTATGATATACCACATCTTGTTTATTCATCCACTGATAGACATTTGGGTTGTTACTGCCTTTTGGCTACAGGTATTGTGAGTAATGCTGCTATGAACATTTGTGTGGAAATATCTGTTTGAGGCCCTGCTTTTAATTCTTTTGAGTATATACCCAACAGAAGTGCAATTGCTGGATCCTAGGGTAGTTCTACATTTAATTTTTGGAGGAACTGCCATAATGTTTTCCACAGCAGCTGTACCATTTTATATTTCCACAAGCAATGCTCAAGGGTTCCAATTTCTCCATATCCTTGCCAACACTTGTAACTTTTTTTTGATAAGTATCTTATTGTGATTTTTTGTAACCCACTTTTTATTTAACTACGTAAAGTGTACAATTGTACTATTTTAAAGGTTTTATTTTGTTTTTTGTTTTTAAAAAAACTTCCAAGTTCACCATGGTTCTAAGCCAGTCTTTGCCTTGAGAACCTTTATTAATGTCACATCTTGTGATACTTGTGTATATTTGCCTCCCCCAGTCTATGTGAATATGTGGAAAAGTGATATAGGAATTTTTCTTCCCACATTGAAAACTTGCCTTGTGTGAGTTTTTTCCCCTGCATAAGGCACAGTGTAATTAAATTCTTTGTGATTGTGTATGATTTTCTTTGTTCTCTTCTCTCATTTATAAGATGAGGGCTTACTTACATTAATGACCTGTAGAATAATTTTCCATCAATACCTAAAAGAGTTAAAAAGTTAAGGAGCCTTAGAAGTTTTTTTATTTTTATATTTTTTTGACATTTAAGTCAATTTTTAATATTAGTCTATGCAAGTATATTTAGTGGTGGAAAACCAAAATCTATAATAATCCCATTGTAATTATTTCTTTTTTTTCATTTAGAGATATTTTATAGGCTTGTCTACCTATTTTATTATGGGTTCTGTAGCAAAAAACCATCCTCAACTGCCTAAAGCTATTATTTAGGAAAATTGTTCAGATTGCCACAATGCCATTTGGAATGTTTTAACTCCTATTTAAAAATGAATTTCTAATGGAGGGAATATTAATTGCTTTAAATTACATTGAAGGTAGATGAAATACGTTCAAAAGCATGAGGTCAGAAGAAAATATCACGTATTTGAAGAATACAAGGAGTTTGGTATATGCAAGGCTGGAGTGTATACTTGGAAATCATAAGATGATGGCAAGAGGGAGAGAGAGAAGCCAAATCAGGATGAAACTTTGTGTTATTTTTTAATCCTGTAGGAAGTGGAGAGGCACCACAGGACAAGGAGAATGGCATACTCCAATTTGCATTTTAGAAAAGATTCTTTATGGTAGAGTAGAGGGTGAATTTTGGAGCAGCGGAAGAAAAATTAGTTATAAGATTATTGTAATTCCTAGGAGAAAAAAGATGAGGACAGTACCAATGTCAAGAAAGAAGATTTGACAGATTGTTAGCATATGTGGGCAGGAGAATCAGTT